GAAGTCTACCAAGCGAAGCTTTTACATCATTTCTTCCTCCAACTTTACGATTTAGGATGCTGAAGTCGTAAACAGATCCGTCACATTTTCATTAGTCAACGCACTGAAAGGTGGTTGCGTTTGCTTTACGGTCGCGTTCGCACTACCTCTGTATCACAGATGCTTGCAGTAATTTCAGTACATGTGGAGCGCACTTAAAAAATCATTTGACATAACTCGAGTTAACAGAAATTGAGGCCAACAGCGGATAAGACCTACTAACACGGTCAGGTCAACTGGTAGTTCCCTTGCTTGGGCGTGATGTGTGATTGTGACTGACGATGGTGATCGAGTGACTTCTGATCATCCGTTGAAGAGGCTTCTTTCATGCACATTTGCAATACGAGCAAGGAAAAACAGACCCTGCACCCTCCTTTGTATCCATCCTGGCCATCGTACAATTTTGTCTACCACCCGAGGTGAACTCCTGTTTGCTTTACACATTCAGCAGGAAATTTGCGTAAGTGTTAACTGCGTCTTACGACCAATGCTCAACTTGGCGATCGAGTGAGCGATGACTTGAAATAAGGACTGAGCGAATGCTCATAAACGAAGCCTGTTTAGCAAATAATTAGGATCCACTTAGTCACACTCATTAATCTCGATCACATTCACGCAAAGACACAACTGGCTGACTGACCTTTTAAACAGGTCTTATCTGTTTTCACCCGTCCACTCTAAATTGACGCATCTGACGTGCTGTTAACTGGCAGGTATGTCAAATAATTTGTCAAGTGTGCTCAACGTGTACTGTGGCTTCCTATTCATTCTATAATGACGTGGGTAGAGCATTGATTTTAACTAGTGTCATAGGCGACTATGTTCAAACCTGTGCAGACTTAAAAGGAACTCTTGCTCGGAGATCACCAGTACTTCTTCAGAGGTCAGAATTTATTGTCTTGACTGACCCATATTTAATCTGATTTAACATGCTCAATCACAGTCGTCGGTCGTAAACTTTGACTGTCGTAAGACTGGTGACCAATTCAGAACATGGAGCAATCTAGTAGAGTCTTGACTGCCCAAACAAACCAGAGTCATGGATAAGCATTGGCTATCGTTTGTCTGCGTCTCCCTAACTCAGGCGCATTTGTAGGCGATTGCTTAAACGCAATAATTGTCTGCCATCAGCAGTAATCTTAATAAAATTTGAGCAAATGACACCACTGATCTCTGTTGGATGCTCCAACACAAGCCGTTTTATGGTATCTTTCAGATACCACCAAGGACGTACGTTTACATATGCAAAACTGCAGGGTTGACTAGAGTAGTGAAATCAGCGACTTCACAAGTAAAATCAAGATGCGGATCAAGCGTTCTTGCAAATTTTCGCCAACAAATTCCACAACTGATTCGGATGACACGGATATTGTAAGCAACTTCAGTGGTGAGTGTTGGTTTGCTATTTCTTTTTTCAATGTCTCCATCAATTTGGCGTATTTCTCTTGTTATAGTGTATGGCATAGTCAACACGTGGTGGACAATAGGTTCCATTTGCTGTTTTGTGATCACATCACATAGTCAATCCTATCACCACCACGTTATCTTATCGTTTCCTCCTCTATTCTTGCTGAAACGTTGAGTTGATTGACTTAACTAACTGTATGCCAATAAAACATGTTCAGACAACAAAATTAGACATATGAAACTGCATCCATGCTTGAATAGGTTCAAATCAGTTAGTAGACGTGTTGTGTTGTTATGCAAAGTCATGCAGTGTGGTTTCCTTGGGGTGTTTCAGGACCAATTTAGTAACCTAAATTAATAGGCAGCAGAGATTAAGTGGACTGTTGATGATGCGATGTGTCACCTGAAATGTACTAAGTTCGAAGTGGCGCAGATGAAGGTGGTGGAGGAGTAGATAAAGCAAAACCTATTTTGGTGTAGTTTGTCTCACAAAGGCTACCGATGCCTAATCCTGACAACCCATTCGAATGCTTACAGATGCCAAGGGTCCTCATCTTTCGCTTTTTTATCTAAAGCCTTAATATCACTCTCAATGGTTGGTTCCCATGCTTTTATTTAACATTCCTGCTTTAAAATGACACTTTTTATTTGCTTTCAGAGTCAAGTATTGACGCCGTTTCTGGGACAACACAACAACAATACCGTTTGCCCACAAGGTTCGTTTATGCTATAAATCACGCACTGGACGTATTAAACAATATCAACCTAAAGTTAAAGGCCAAGCTGGAGGTTACCTCTGATACTGAATTCGCTGATGCCATTAATCGCACCATGCATGTCTGTGAGAATACGATCAAAGCGTTCAGAAGTGCACTCGAGTAATTCTTCAACACCGACCCTTACTTCCGAAAAAACGTAGGAGTTTAGTCGAAACTACGAACGCTTCTTTCAAAGCTACGCAACGTTAACAATATTTGTAAATTGTCGAGATATGTTAGTTTGATTTGTGTGCAGACGTTAGCCAACATTTCAAACTTTTGCAATCTGCAGGTTCTCCGTTTTGAGCCTACTAGATAAATGGCATCACATTTAGTTTGTATTTTTATTGAAATACATTACCGGCATTGTGGAGATAATGTGTGATGGTTATATGCTGATTAAAAGTAACAAACATCGCATATCTTAACATCTGCATGGTGATCAGAAAAGAAGAAAGTGTGAAGAAATTGCCTAATTTTAATTAATTCGATCACCATCCACGAGGAAATTAGTTTGGTAAAAACGAGCATGTTGTTTGCAAGAACTTTGTTAGTGTCTTAAACACACTATTCAATATTAAATTAAGATTAAAAGACGATAGTAGAAGTTTAGGGATTGAAATTGTCCAGACAATGAGTGAAGCGAATAAAGCTCACAATGCAGACTGCATCATCGAATGCAATCTTAATAAGCCAACAGACAACAGAACTGGTTGCCCTAAAATTTGCCTTTACACGCACTGGCGAAGGTGCTTATTGTATTTTGTTGTAAGCACTAGTCAACCGTAGTCCCTTAATATATAGTCAAGAAACACAGACCATAGAGTTTACAAGTAGTTGAGAGTCACTTGTACTTAGTGCATTCAAAGGAAAGTACGTAGGTAAGCAATGGGTAGGTGGTTTTAACAAAACATTATAGTTTCGTCATAGGGTTGGTGCAGGTGAATTCTAGTTCCACAGCAGCACTTCAAAGTGCATTTTCAGCGTCTACACAGCATGCTATGGATGCAAATGTAGCATCCTCTTTTTTAGGCTTTGATGTGGCGTTTAGCCTCCCGATTAGCATGTCGTAGATCCTCTGCAGTTTAGCCAACATTTGACTTAATTTAACAAACTTCTTCTGCGGAGATTTATTTAGGACAGAAACCAGGGCTGTAGCTGCAAGAGAAAAAGATTCTAGAAAATTGACTAAAATTGTAGCTCTACACACAGATATTGTATAGGAGAGAGGAATCACGATTCAGAAGAAGGCACAGTAAAATAATAAGCATGCTAAAACAGGTTATAAGGCTTTGTTGATGAAAACTTGCACGTATCTTTTGCTTACATTCTGCAGCTGCAAGTGTGCTTTGACAGCTGTTCTGTGGGCAAACGTGATGCTGTTGTTAGCTAGGACGAAGTTAGCGACTTGTGAACACATTTAATCAATCCATAAATGCCTGTCTTCACACTATCAATACGCCTATGTGTAATCGCAAGGAATCTCCAGGTGCAAACCATTCCACAGAAAGAATTCCTGGCCATCAATCGGACTTTCGCCCCTGAACCTTAGATCTGCATATTCAACGTTTAGTGTACAAGAATCTTATAACTCGTTTATCAGTGCACCTTTGTATATCGTTAGGATATTTTCCTAGATTAATAGGAAGCACTTTAGATAAATTTGTTTTAAAACTAGGTGACTGAAACTAAATGAGAAGTTGTTTAAAGTAGCCAGCAAAGTAGCACTCTGCGTGGGAATTTAATGCACGATTATGTACATAATTAGTCCGAGATATGCGAAATTTAGCGATATAATTTGATCACTATTTTAGCGCCATTGCTAAGTAGCGTAATAATTGTCTGCATCCGTAAATGCCGCACACAGAGTTGCATGTTCGACATATTTTGCTAAATAATTTTAAAAAGTCGAATGGCTTAATTGGTACATTTTTTTAATTTTTATTTTGGCAAAATATTTTATTACACTAGTAGCCGTATAGAACATGTAATTTGGCACAGTAGTAATATCCAGCTCACAGTTATCCCACAATCACTTTCAATTCAACATCATGAATTTTCACATTTATTTATCAAACAGCGTAATGCATTTCCACCCTAAAATAAAGTTCCAACCAAAACAGCTACAACGTCTGTAACCGAGAATGACGACATCGCCAAAAGACTATTAGCCAACGCCAGGTACAGTTGACATAGCTTCGTGTGGCTGAAAATGACAAACACTCGTCCACCCACTGACAGCTAATAACGAAGCTCCAAATTTTACCACCGGAAACAAAGGCTTCCCGCAGCCACATGTGAATGCTTTAATCTCTTGCCACCTTACGCTTACACTGGGTGAGTGACAAAATCACAACTCGCACTTAGCACCTCCTGAACTCAATTAATCAGCTTATGAGCGGATTAGGTGGAATTAGTTTGTATAGCAGGCGCTAATCACCTGCATGCATAGTTCCCATTGGCCAGAGTCACTTGACTCGAGCTCAAGTGAGTAGTACTGTATAAATGATTGCAAGACATCATCGCAGGATCAGTTGTGTCTGTTGGTGTGATGGAAATGGTGTGCGACAGCAAACTGGTTGATATGAGCCTAGGTGAGTTCTCACGGCCGCTATTGCTAACCATTTATTTACATGCATTGCCGAGTCAGTGCAGTTGGTTCTAATGTGTCTTGATGTCATGACAATCGTGTTTGTGAGTTGTTTTCACGTGGAATCTTCCGGTGTCTAGATGAAATCATTAAACTGAACAGAAGGACTCGGCAAGTAGTTGGGAATAAAGCAGGGGGTTATGATGGTAGATTGGCAGTGAGGTCGGCGGCTGGAGCTTCACCAGCAAGACCACCGACACACAAGATGTACCGGCAACACCGACGTCACCAAAAGGCCATCGTTCGAAGCCAGCAGTTGAATCAAGGAAAAGGTCTGCTTATTCCCGTCAGTTGTCAAGTACTAACAACAACCATGCCAATTTCCAGCAACAGCGCTTGGCCTGCATCAAGACGGCCAGATACAGGTCAAGGCGGGAAATCCAATCTGTCAATCAACGTAAGTGCTGTACACATTGTACTGTGGTGATTTGCTTTCATCTA